CGTCACCTCCGCTTGATTAACCTCCTTAGCTTGTTTAAGGAACAATTGAACTGCCTTGTAGTTAGGGGTGAACACCGGTCCAGATCCGGACCGGACCAGACCTGAACCGGATCAGACCCGGACCGGTTTGGACCGGCATGCGTGGACCTGTGTTAGACCTGTTCCTGCCGGTCCGGGTCCGGTCCAGACCTGAAAAATCAGGTCCGGTCCAGGTCTGGACCTGTTTGGACCGGTTTGCTTTTATCCTTTATAAAGACTTTTTTTTTACCTGTTTTGAACATGAATTTGGACCTGCTTTGAACTTGATTCTGGACCTGTTTCATGAACTGTTTATAAAACATATTTTGGACAAACTATTGCCCTTTTTTTTAAGTCCAAAACTTAGTTATATAAAACATATTTAACAAGTTACATAAAGTCCAAACTAGATTATATTAGATTGTATGCTTGATCTTCTTATCTCCCTTCAATCACACGCTTCAAACGAATCACACCAACGAGTCTACAAATACGACTTCATTGTCTACATCGCCACATTGCACATCTAAATCAAAACGAAAATAGATTATATTAGATTGTATTGATAATTAATAAGTAATAATAAAATAAATAAGTAAAAGTGCTTAATAACATAACTACCTTTCTCGATTTCCTCTAACTCTTTCAAAGTTTCCTCCACATCAATAATTGGCAATCCTTTTGCTCTTAACCAATCTTGTGAACAAATAAGAGCTTGAACCATCTTAATACAAATAGAAACAGAAGCTTATATCAGCAGAAACTAATAGAAACAGAACAACCAATTTTGAAGTCAGAAAAAATGGCAAAATGAATCAGTCAGAACAACCAAATGAATTAGAAAATCAATCATCACCGTCCATATTTGAAGTCAGAAGGTTGATTTATTGAGCTTATAGTAAGTACATGACATAAGTACATGTTTATGATAATTTATGTATCTTAGCAGAAGATATTTTACCTTAGGAGTTAGAGAGCTCCGAAATGGATCTAGAGTACGACCTCCCGTACTAAACGCAAATTCAGAAGACACTGTAGACAAGGGGACAGCTAGAATATCGCGTGCCATGCACTTAAGAACTGGATATCGATGACCATTAATACCCCACCAAGTTAATGAATCTAGTTCTTCTTCCTCCGGCCCTATACGTTCATGTAAAAACCTATCCAACTCGTTCATCACATACCCACTTGTCCCCTCTAATTTTTTCGCCACTTCTCTAAGGTTTTTCATGTAATCATCACCCCCTTCTATACCAAAGGCACTATCATCATCAACATCAAAATCAACATTAACATCTATTGGCATTGAATCTCCTTGTTGGCTACTTTGAGAAATAGAAGAAGTGTACATGTTTCTATATTCATCAAATAAAGTGTAAGTGAAATCCTTCACCTCATTGGCAAGCTTCGAACCCTTTTCTTTTCCATGCATATCAATTAGTGACAATTCAACAAGTATGAACTTGCAATGAGGGTCAAGAATAGAAGCAACATAAATAAGCTTGTTCATTTTATTCACATTCCCCCAATACTTATCAAACTTTTGTTTCATTGCAATAGCCATAGCTTGAAAGTTCAAATCCCCACTTTTCTCCCACTTATTCAACATATTATACATGGAAGAAATCTCACTCAAACCTTTATTACTTGTCACATAATGAGAGCCAGAGATACGTTTAGTCAAAACATAGAACCCCTTCAAAAACAAAGTCAATCTCTGTACTTTTTTCCAATCTTCTTCTTCGGGAGGTCTTTCATTATCATTCAAATCCTCTCCATCGGGAAGAGATAACCCACTAAAAACACGTTGAAATTTCAAAGCCGTGTCCAACATTGTGAATGTAGAATTCCAACGAGTGGGGACATCAAAAGACAAGGAAGCTTTGGAATCTATATTTGCTTTTTGCACAAGATCTTTGAACCTAGATATTCTAGCAGGAGAATTCTTCACATGTTTCACGGCATTTCTAACTCTATCAATGCACACACCGTGTTGTTTGATTCCATCCCACACAATTAGATTAATGATATGAGCCATGCATCTAACATGAAGATTTTTTCCATCATTAATACATCCGGTTCTTCTAACCATTCTACTTAAGTGCATACAAGCAACATCATTTGAAGAGGAATTATCAACAGTGACAGTAAAAATCTTATCCTCAATACCCCAATGCTCTAAACATGCCTCAACGGCTTTTCCAATAGCGTCTCCTTTATGACTAGATATTGGACAAAAATTGATTATCTTTTTATGCAATTTCCACTCACTATCAATAAAATGAGCCGTAAGACACATATAATTGATTCGTTGTATTGAGGTCCAAGTATCTGTGGTCACAGAAATTCTTTGACAAGCTTTAAACATTTCTCTCAATCTTTCTTTCTCACTATAGTAGAGCTTTACACAATCACGAGCAATGGTCACACGAGAGGGAATAGTAAATTGTGGACATGCAACTTGCATTAAGTGCTTAAAACCCGGCTTCTCTACATGTTTAAAAGGTAACTCATCAACAATTATCATATAAATCAATGCTTCCCTAATCTCTTTTAAGTTTGCTCAACAATTATCATATAAAAAGCAGCAGTAAACAATACAGAAACAGGAACCAAGTTTATCATCTCAGTAAACAGAAACAGGAACCAAGTTTATCATCTCAGAAACAGAAACAGGAAACAGAAACAGCAGTAAACAATTTGACAGTAACCTTATTGAAATGAACAGCTTTTATCATCTCAGTCCAAGTTTGCCATTGTGATTTCATGATCAAATTTCATCAGAATGCTAATCTGGATGACAGTACAACAACAACTAAGATCTTGTGTTTTAGAGCAATTAAAGAACTAAAACAATCCTAGAAACATCCAAAGATACCCACCACCATGATATCGAGCAAAAGCAATCTACAAACAGGACAACAAGAACACAACTATTCCAAAAATCCAACATTTCCCAAATTCAATACTCTAACAAACCAATATACTTTATCATATATAAAACTGTTAATAATTCCAGATTCCAAAAAGGATAAACCTTTATTTGCAGCAGATAAAAAGGATAATACAGGGGAACTAGCAATGTTACATATGTCATTGATGAACAACTCCAAAAGACTAAATTAATTCAATTAAAAAAAGTAACAGCAAAAACTGCATATAAATAGAACAGTACTATCAAATAGTACCATCTTAGCTCATTGGAATTTAATAACATGGTCACATTCAGAATTTCAATATTCAAATTCCCAACTCAAGAAAAATTAAACTCAAGTAACTTTTGCTCCTAATAGGTAGCTTGTTCTGTTTTTCATGGGTAGAATTTAGTGATTTGGTTGGTTGTTCTTCATCAATTTCATCGAACAAGTGGTGGGCATTGAAAAAACAAAAACCCAGAATCAAAGCTATTGAAAGATCATAAACCCACATATTCAAAGAAACCCTAAAACCAATACAAATGCACTCAAAAAATGTAATACAATTTAAAAAATCAACATGCAAACATCAACAAGTAAATGTAATTGAGAAAAAAACACTAACCATGAATGAGGAGTCGCAGAGAGAGATTTGATTCGCCGGTGAGGAAGAACGCCGGTGAGGAAGGATCGCCGGTGAGGAAGGATCACCGGTGAGGGAGAATCGCCGTGAGAGAGAAGTGATTTTAGGGTTTTTAGGAGAGAGAGTGAAAATGAACGTTGAAATTGAAATGAACTGTTTGATTATACCCAAAATATTTTTTTGTTTTTTTTTTTTAAAAATCGGGTTTTCGGTCTGGACCGGGAAATTCCGGGTTAAACCCGGACCAGACCGAAAACCGGAATAGACCTTTTTTTAGAACCGGGACCAGACCTGAAGGTTCTGGCCCGGGTCCGGTCCGGTCCAATCCGGTCCGGTTCAGGTCCGGGTTCAGGTCTGGTTCATTTATGTACACCCCTACTTGTAGTAACCGAACCTAGCATCAAGGTGCAGTGGCGTGTCACCATTGTTGTTCTCTTTCCTTAGCAGCAAATAACATGATGATATAGTACCTTGTTCATCATTGAGAACCTCTTCAATGAACTCAATGCTAACCTTCTTCCTTGTATCCTCGGACAAAATGTTGTAGAGCGGTTTCCCTATATGAATGTAAAGGATGTTGATTCCCATGGCCATGGGCGTTGCCTGTTCCTTCCAATTCATTTGATATTAAACTTATGTCTTCGATTGATCCATTTAGTGCTGCATTGTATAGCTTAGGCTCCATGCCTTTGAGCTCGATACTTTTTTCTTCCATCTGCTGCTGTTGAACATGATATGCTTGAAGATTATTGCTCCCTATCGCGTCCAATAAGCTACAAAATTTAAATGTACAATACGGAATTAGAAACTTTGGTTATTAACTAACTTGATATCAATTGATGAATATTACTGTATAGTTTCAATAATTTGAAGGGGTCAAACACTAAGAAGATGCAACTTCTCTGAAGTTTGAAAAAAGTACTGGTGATTAATTCTTATGCAAGTGGAAAGACTTATATTTAGTCAACCATAAACAATTAGACAAGCACTCTGATATGTCATGGAATTTCTAGTCCAGTCACTCACGCCTTGACTTTTATCATCCTCAAGATTTTCTCGATCTTACTTAATAGCTTTCCAAAAAAGTTGTTGATAGGATGTGTAGTCTGGTTTTCATAAAATCATTTTTGTTTCTGTTTGTCTCTAAATGTGTTCGGCAATATTTAGTCAAGTACTCCTCTCGTCTCTTAAAATTTGTCTCATATGTGATTTACAATTTGATAAGGTCATGTTGAGATCCCATGGTTATTTTTGTAAAACCATATTTGTTGAATTAATTATCCCGCTCCTCTTTAGTAAATCTCCCATCTGTCGGCCACCATTAGAAATAACAATAACAGAATGAAGCAAGATCAAGTTACCAATAATATTAATAATAATAATGATAATAATAATAATGTTAATAATAATAGATGACTAACTAAATCAATTTCATATTATAGCACATTTAACATTAGAAATAAATTTTACTCGTCAAAACTAATTTTACAAGAACAGGGCTTTATTTGAACACATTGTACAAAGAAAACTTATAAATGACGGGTGATCAAAGACGAGCACACCATAATAATTCCTGCAATATCTTGGAAATTACCAGAATTTGCATCCTGCAACCCATGCAGCATCTCACGACTCCTTAAAACACACTTCATATAACGTCGTACTACAATACCAACAACTGAGATAAGGAAAGGGATATAGCAGACGAAGAAAACCACAGAGATGACCCAAATAGTAATTACAAGGGCGGAGGAATGAGATAACACGGCGCACACACCCGTCATTAGTGCTATCCCCATAGCACCCAATGAAATTACTGTGAGTAGTCTAGCCCAGAACAAGCGTTGCATATTTCGCCTTGTCGATAAAGCATCTGCAATTAAGGTGCACAAGAGTATTGCAGAAGTAGAGCATGAAAAGGCAATGATGTCTGAAACTAAAAATGCTCTGAAGGATGCTTTACTTTTAAGCACAGCCATACCAAAGTTTGTACCAGGGTTTTGATTGAATCCACCTGGTAATGCCAAAGCTGAAGTGAAAGATACTGTTGCAATTAGCGTAGCTACCACCATTTCAGATTTACCTGCTTTTACTATACGATCTGCCTTTGTTGTTATATCAGCTGTCATAGCTTTCTCTATATCAATATCAACATCTTTAAATGTGTTGATTCGCCTGCCCCTTGGAGTAAGCTTGCTTATATATCGTAAAATCTGCAAAATATTGAAAATATGAGTAGGTGTTTAATAAAATAAAAGAGAAAATGTATATAGTGTGTTAGTGTAAGGGATAATATATAAATAAATGAGTGTGAAAAATGCTATTATTGTGAAATAAAAAGGGGTAAGATGCTGAACAAGGTAAGCCTAAATTTAATAAAGCAATCAACACATACTAAATTAGAAAATGTATAGAACAAAAAAGAAATAAGAGAGTACCAACATTTATTAGACCCCACATCCATTGATGATAAACCTAATACTCATGTCCAATAACACTCCATATGCATGCATAAATTTTCATATATAAAATCAAGAGGGTGTGTGGATGTGGAACATACCGGTTCATGATACAAGGCCTTTTTATTTGAAGCGATTATGTCTCCGAAGGTAAGGTTTTTCCTGTTGAATACCTTAGGATTCAAGAGTAGATTTTTTTTTTTATAAACCTTGATATTTCGTTCACACAATAATGGTAGGGAGCATTAAGAATGGACGCGGCCAAGATATGGAGAGGAGTGTTCCCATGTAAATCCTTCTCGTTGATTAAATTTTCAAAGTGTCCTAGCTCCAAGAAAGCTCTAGTTTTAGCTACACAAGTCCATTTGGCAGCATAGTGTACAACATTTTGCCCCTTATTGTCCATTATCTCAATGCAGTCTGGACAAAAAGCAATCAGATTCTTCATGGCATCCCAGTTCTGCTGTATAATCGCAATATGAAGTGCTGTGCGCCCATTATTGTCCTTGATATATACTGCTGATGATTCATTGTTCCTATTATTGCTGTCGTAATCCAGAAGGACCTTGAGAGCTTTAGACTTGCCCTTGTCCGTAACCACACAATGCAGTGGAGTTAGCCCATCATCGTCTTGAGCCCTGATTAGACTACTATCAATTTCCAGTAATTTCTGCACCATCTCTGTTATTTCAAGTGAAATACCTGATTATATTAGTTTTATTTACCTTTAAGGTTTGACATAATAATATTTGAAATAAAACTTGTTTTTGGTCAAGTAAAGATTATTGGCTTATTACCTAGATTGTACTCTGTAGGAGATTAGTAGACCTTGTTAGCGAGAGCTTATTATTATTATTATTATTATTATTATTATTATTATTATTATTATTATTATTATTATTATTATTATTATTATCGCATTATTATTATTATTATTATTATTATTATTATTATTATTTTATTACCAACAACAATCTTTATTAACCGTTAGTTTCTCCGATTTATATTGATCTTTTCATTTTGACCAATTTTTTATCTCACAAAAAAATTCTAAGTGAGAAGTTTTGGGAAGAACAATATAAAATGGAGGAGGCATAACATAAAAATTAAAAAAGGAAAAAATATATAGTTGGAGAAACTTACCAGGATTTCCCCAATTTGCTGCAGCGTGAAGAGGGGTTCGGCCACAAGGTCCCTTACGGTGAGCCAAAGCTGAGAGATGACAAGCATCTAGAATAGCAGTCACTGAGGCAGCAGATTCCCTCTCAACAGCAAGATAGAGAGGGATCTCACACATATCATTAGGCTCATGAGGGCTATTAGGATCTGCCTCCACTAGCAATTTCACCACCTCAGCATGACCTTCCCTTGCTGCCTCGTGTAAGGCAGTATCCTTCATCTTGTTAAGCATCTTTGTCAGTTCCTGTCCAAGAACAGTTTAACCACATTCGCATGTCCAAACCTAGCGGCCAAGTGCAGAGGTGTATCGCCCTTGTCATTCTCCTTCCACAGGAGCGAGTACCTTACTAGGCTACCCATATCTTCATCGAGTGCCTTGTTGATGAATTCGATGTTGATTACTCTATCCGCTTTCCTGGCCAGCTTACTTTGGACCGGTTTCCCCACGTGAATGTGGAGGATATTGTTTCCGGTGGGTGTTACCCGTTCTTTCCAACCAGAAATGCAGCTTATCGCTTCAAAAGAGCCGCTCAGTGCTGCTTGGTATAGTTTAGGCTCCATGCCCACGACATGTAATGAGACATCTTGTAGCTGCACAACAGGATCTGCTTCTTGATTGCTCATCTCTACCATCGCCATATAATTAAAATCACATTATATATATGAAATTAAAAAATAAAAAATAAAAATTATTCAGTGCAAAAACTTATTAATGAGAAATTTGCTGAAAAGAGTTGAATACAAGAAAATTTTATTTGTAACATACAAATGACACAGATAGTACATACCAAATTACCAATGCTATTTGATTGTTAATCACTTTTCAGTTATCTGCTTGAACGCTAACAAGGGAGAGCTAGCTCTTTGGGTTCATAGACTAAAAGGCAAAGCACTATTTCATGAAAATCATAACTCGTATTCAAATTTCGTTAAAGATTTATAATTACAGTAGTTTGGTTACCCAAATATATTATTACTAAGCATAAACAAAAAGTGTAAAGGAAGGTGACAACGAAAAGTGTGAGCACTTACAGCGAAAAAAAAAAAAAATTCTCCTCCAGAATTTTTTTTTTGCCCAACATATTACCCCACCAATGAAATTTCTTATAAAAATCCTAGAGAATTTGGGGTAGGTCCGCAGGTTTTGTTATTTTTTTTTATTTCTTTGATTAATTTCGTGTGGGCCCTACTAAAAAAGTAACCATGCAATATTTATTCAACGGTACAATTGCAAAGATTGTAGTGAGATTAAATGTTAGCCAATGATCTTCTTACACGTGTTACTTTTTGGAAGAGCTTAATCCTAACTGTAAAAATGTTATCTTTTAAGTGTAAAACAGCTATTTTGTATACAGTAATTTATTAAAAACAAAAAAAAACAATGATAAAGAAAAGACATAAAAATTCTAGAGAATTTGGCAATTTTTTCTCTTGGAGAAAAAATTCTTACATTTCATCTTACTGATATTTGACAAATGGTTGAAAATTCTAATGTAGTCTTATGACTTTTGACTACCACATTTTTTAAAAATGGACGGCTGAGATTATTTGTTTTTCGATTTATTTTTAATTAGTAATTTTAATTAAATTTTTTTTTTAATTTTTTTATTTCCAAAATTTCAATAATATAAAAAACAATTTCTGGAAGATAAAAATATATTTTAAAAAAATTAAAAAAAAAACATTTATAATTAAAATTATTAATTAAAAATAAATCAAAAAACAAATGATCTTAGCCGTCCATTATAAAAAAATTGTGATAGTCAAAAGTCAAAAGACTACAGTAGAATCATCACTGGTGCACAATATTTGTTTTTTTTTTTTTGATTAATTTCATGTAGGCCCTTTCGTGTAGGCCCCACAAAAAAAGTAACCATGCCACATTTATTCAACGGTACAATTACAAAGGTTGTAGTAAGAGTAGACACCCATTTTTCCATATTTTAATTTACATGCAAAAATCATTTTTCACTCTTTAAATTCCTTAACCGTATAATTCAAAGTGTTTTAAAGTATTATCCCCTAAATATTTTTGTTATTTTGTTCCCCTTTTTTTAAAGTAAAAATGAATCCTAATAATCCCAATCGTTCACAAAATGTCAACAATTTTGATCCTTCATCACTTGTTTATCATCCATAATTTTCTGAGTTTTTTCAATAATCCTAATATTCCTCCACAACAACCACCTCTAGAAGAAACGACTCCACCAACTCACCAAAATTACAACAAATCTCCACAAGTCTATTAAGGAAGCAATACTCAATTGATCAGTGATGAAGAAGAGACCGTTCCGGCACAGACGCAATTATTCAAGTAATTCGTTCACTAATTTATAACTACGTTAAATTAATCATTATTATTTAATTAGTTCATAATTAATTAAAGACATCAATAAATTAAAACTGATCTAGCAGAGTAAAGCTAATTCAGGTACTACTCACATTAGCTGTAAGACTTGTAGCAAGGAATACCTCGTAAAATCAGGTGCAGCAACGATAAACTTGTAAACAACTAAACAAGATACTTGTAGAAATCTTCAACAATTATTTCCATCTTTACATTAAAACCATTATTAAGAAAACAAAGATGCGCCATACCTTCAAGCACTAGCAAGTAGCAACAATCAGAAAGATAAAAATTTCATCTATTTATAATTCAAATGCCGTGACGATTAACTACCTCTAATGCAAAGAGAGTGGTGATTAGATGCATTGACGAACATAGCGCAACACAAATGAAGTTACTCCGTATGAAGTTACTTTAAAACGGTCAATGAAACAAAGGGCAACACATTCATTTACTGAAAATGGATCAAAACCAAAACCACAAAGGTTGCACACATCAGAATAAAGTAGATTGAACGACGAAGAATATCTCTGGCTTTTCTTATGACTTCTTTCCTCAAACAAGTATTTTTCATGCTTTCTTCTGTGTAAGAGAGTTTTCAATCATTTTAGTGACTACTCCTTGCTGCAGCAGGAACTCCTTTATCGAGCTGGAGACATTTAGTAGACTCGAGCACCCCTTTAACAACTCGCCAGCATTGTAAGAGAGTTTGTCGAGTCATTGGAAGACTGAAGGCCTGGTTAATACACCCATACAGCTCCACCAGGCCAGAGTAGCCCAGAAACGCCAAATACTGATGCTTTCTGAGGCTGATGTTGAAGCTTATTCTATGGTACTAAGCCTATTCAGCTCATTTTCAATTTTTTGGTTGATAGATATTAAACTCAATGATTTAGTTAGTTGGGACTTGTTCAATTCTACCGAAAAACTAACCATGATTACTTCACTGTGTTCTGCTTTCTTCTGTTTGGTATTTTACTTGGAAATCAGATGGCATTTAAACATATACATGTAGAAAATATTCATCAAATACAGTAGGCCAAGTATATTTTACAGCCATAACTGTTAGGAATAGTTCAATAGAAACAGGCTTAACCACTACTGTTAGCACCCAGTAGTATAAATCTGATTTCATTCCAATAGAACTTACTAATCTTAGCCACAACCAGCAACAACAATGCTTTTTGATTCTTTAA